CAACATCTCAGATGGAAATAATTTTCGTAACTGCCTCTGAAAGATCATCTGATAAACACAAGATAACAGGTTCAAACTCTTAAAAGTTTTAAATGAGGCTTGTTAATTTCTTCATGTTTCTGTGGAGGAAACCTCCATTAATTCGATTAAGACATCCAAAACCGGGCGAAATGGGAAAAAGAGAATGGTACAACGTGCTTAATACAGTGAGCGTTTATAATAGACAGGAGGTAACATATTTGAAAATAATAAGGTAATTATGAAAGTAAGGTATGAGTTTGTACTTCGTATGTGCTTTGAATACTGCCTTTCAGGTAAGAGTTTTTGCTACAAAGTCCGTAAGTGAACACACTAACACGATATTTCTTCAGCTGCAACATGTTATTTCAGAACAGTTTACATATCAAAGCGCGATTATCTGTCCATCAGCTGACCGACCCTGGAACTACGCTATTGCTATGAATACGAGGAATTTCTCAAATGATTTCTAGTTCAAGGATTCCACGGATACAGACATTGAAGATGAAGTGAACGGTGGAAGTTCACACCGCTGTCTGAAATAGCTTGCGTTAGCGGTGCTTTTAGGGCGTCCTGACCTCGGGGAACTCCCTCCTGTCGTGTTTACGAGAGGAATCTCCTCGATGCGTTCCAAGTCGTGTGCCGCCCCGGCTGAATTTTGCTTGAAGAGTCTACCAGTGGAGGTTGCTCTTGGCGTCCCGACAGACGCCGCACTGTCCAGCGTCATTGTAGACACAGAGGACGATCCTGACAGTGAGTGCACAGAAGGTTCATCACCGCGATCCAAACTGAATTGCCTTTTCAGGAAGCGGTTTGAAGCGAGATTGGAACCCCCAGTGCCGTGAATGGGCTTAACGTAGTGATTGTGCTGGTTCAGGTGTTGCTCGCTGGGAGACAAGCAGCGGTAGTAGTTATACGGGGAACTCAGGTCTTCTTCCTGCGTGGTCACACCCCTGCGATGCCTGCTGCTACCGCGGAAAGGAATGTTGTTGTTGTTTATTGATTGTGTTGACGTAGAAACTCCCAGAAGTGCAGCTGCTACGTCTGATGCAGATACGCCAAATCCACTTGTCATTTGGTGATCGCTGGCTGAACTTCTAACAATACCCGTACCTGCAGGCATCTGGTAATTGACGTCTGAAATTTTATTAGCATCAACATTCCTCAACATTTCATAATCTTTCCTAGAGCTTGTTTTGGCGTGCGATAGTTCACTTTGTTCCGATTTCGTATCTTCATTTGATTTAAGATCGTCTTTCGAATTTGACTTTTCATTATGAACAGATGCACTCACTTTCACTCTCTTCTGATTGTTCGAATTTGAATCCGGCTGCTGTTCGGAGCTCCGGGTAGCAGGCACCGGAACTTTCTGGTCAGGGCTCAGTTTCATCTTTACATCTGAGAGACTCGATGGAGAAGTCAGGCCACCGGAAACACTCAGATCCCCGGAACTGCTGTCTTCAGAACGAGATGGAATGATTCGCCCTCCATACTCTGCTGCAACTCCAGAACTTCCGGCTCGGCTAAGCTCGATTAGTCGCTCATCCAGCCTTGAAAAAATTGATAGCATTGAACGTACAGGCATGTATGCAATTTGGCCTGTTATTAATCCCATTTCGTTAAAATTTTATCGAAAAACAAAAACAAAAGAGTTTTCGAAGAAACGCGAGTAATATTTAACTCTTTACCTTACCTTTAAATTTTCTATGTCATAAATGTGGAAATTAAATGCTTTCAGTCATGGTAAAACGTCACTTTATCTGAGTCACATTTAGTGTTACATCTCCCCTGTCCCACGCAGCTGGTGACAAGCTGACATCATCTTAATGAGCAAAACGTGACAAGCAGTTAGAAGGCAGGACGTTTAAAGCACGCACGCACACAAATGAAACTTACCCGTGGCTTTCCCTGAGAGATTGCAAGAGAAAATGAAGATTTATTAAGTACAACGTATTCCTAAGCTGAAAACATAACACTAAAAACTTATATTTAATACAAATATTTTGTATATTCAAGACGTGGTTGCTCATGAAAAGAACATAATTAACCATTTGATGTCGAATGTCGTATTTATAATATTCAAACATTCAGCTCTTACCTGAAAGAAAACACAACCCACAGCCACTACAAGAATCAATTTGTTAAAAACTGACGTAACGTTAACACATGTGATATTATATATTCGAGTCAATACAAAGTATATCATGTCATGGTCAACTCCAAACTTCTGTCCAAAAATAGAACAAGTAACGAAAGTTAACTTACAAATAAACAAAAAAATCAGACTGAAACAATGCTACAAACTTGAAAACGACCATATAAGGTGTAATTATTCCTAATCAAACCTTGTTGAACAGAATACTGTAGTACTCACTCAATGGGGGGTGGAGTGGGCAGCTGCTTGTCGAAGCCGGCCTTACCCAGAAGCCAGTACGTATGCATTTTTCCTTTACCCTTGATGTCAGTTTCACCGCGATACTCCAGCTGGAAGCCCCCCACTTGATCGAGTTGCTCCTTTGTCGCTTGCGATAGATGAATTCTCCATGCAGATCCTGCAACACAAATCCGAACTGAGGATGACTGTCTTCTGGGGGTTGCGCCGAGTAATCTGGTACTGCCTTCAGTAAGCACCTCTGAAACGTCGGCCTGTTCCCACCAGACTATACGGAGCAGCATCTCGGAAAACACTTATCTTCTGAGAAAGTGAAACGGCACATATCAAAACTATTCGCACCGATTCAATTGCCCATGAGAGAAAGAGACCTCAATTGTTTGTGCTTGTGACCGCACTTACCAGTTGATTCCATCCTGGATGCGGTGTTGACGGTGTCGCCGAAGAGGCAGTAACGTGGCATCGTGAGGCCCACAACTCCAGCACAGCAAGGACCTGCAGATAACACACGCGTACAGACATTCAGAAACACCAAACTGGCTTAACTTTAAAAGAAAACGTCAGAATTCCACCATTTTAAGAGACGCGTGCCCCAGATTCCTTACTGTTTACATCAGTGTACCTGTGTGCAACCCGATTCGGAGCCGTAGGGGTGTATACGGCAGGTGGCGTATCTTGAAACGGCCACTTTGATGCAACAGGTCCAGCGCCATTGTTGCTATCTGAACAGCGTGATCAGAAATTCGAACTGGGAGTCCTCCCACCACCATATATGCATCTCCTATTGTCTCTACCTAAGAGCACAGAGATGCAAAAAATAAGCTGTGGAAGAGACGATGACCATAATTTTTAAAATTAAAAAAAGATAAAATATAGACCTATAACAGAACACGGATCATGACTGTGTGTGTTACGTACTCCCAGAGGTCTGAACTTCTCAGTAACGATGACAGATACATAAAACGTTCTATTTTATTGGTGACGTTACCATTAGGCAACCTTTAGAAGTATTTGTAATATGGCTTACGAAAGCGTTAAAGTGAAAGATGGGAAAGGAAAACCCGGGTAAAGAATTAAGGATACAGAAGCACAAAAGGCATAAAGAAAATGAAGAAATGGAGTAAGCGATAAAAATAAGAAATAAAACGTAACCTACTGAATTCCATTTCCAATTAGTATTAATGAATACAGCAAAAAGATTAAGTATATCTAAACTCAAGGCAATGACGTTTCATTGATCGATCAGCCACGTCGATACGAAGTAAAGATCGAAGCTTGGGAACCTGTCTCGGCGTCCATGAACGAGTCAAAGGAATTGTCAAAAATGTCTGATTCTTACTCAACAGTTCATGTCACCAGTTACCGATGATGCAGATAAGAACAGCTTTCCGAAAGCATCAACAATAATAATGTAATAGTAACAGTAGTAGAATTTACCTTACCTTGTACACATTATAAGCATTGATTGTTGCGTCGAAGCAAGTATACAGGTCATTAAGTAGATCCACAACTTCGAAGGGAGTAGAATATGCTGAGATGGTTGTGAAGCCGACGATATCTGAAAAGTATATCGTTACTTCTCGAAAGTCCTCAGGATCGACCGGCATCCCTAGCTTCAGTTTGTCCGCAACAGAGCTGAAACAACAGCACAAACTTGCAGTAGCGTCGATTTCCTGGTCATTATGAGGATTTTAAACGTTGTATTCACGAAAAAATTCAAACTTAAACAGTACCGGTAAAGAATATGGCTGTCTGTCTTCTGCGCTGTAGCGCCGGGTAGTCTGATACAAGTTTATCGACGTTTCAGAGGTGCTTACTCAAATCTTACTAAGCAGCGGTAAGTTTCATGCGAAATTCACGATCTTACTTAAAGACAACCAGGAAGGGGAAGACGAGATCAGCATACGGAACGGTAACATCTCTTAGAAAACAACTAATTGGAAGATCGTGACATAAATGGGGGATAATATTATAACTGTCGCAGAAGAAATTGGTTGTAATGATGACAGTTTAATAAAACTGACTTAGGGGCTTCGTTATTAACAGTGCTAAACTTTAAGGTTTTTCTCGAATAATTTGAGTTATTTCAATTTCTAACGCAAATCCTGCAGGGGCATTTCCCATGTGTCGACCGGACCTGTCGCGACGTACCTCGGCAGCATTCTGTTCAGAAGTTGTTCGGTTTTCTTCTTCTCCATGTCCAGCTGCTCCGTGCGTTCTCGAATCAGTTCCTCCAGGTTGTTTGAATACTTCTCCAGCATTTGAAACATCGTATCGACAAAATTAACCTTCCTGGGAAAATAACGAACAAGAAACACGAATTAAAATTACTGTATTTCTCTGAATACAGTGTGGCCATAGAAGGTGAATTGTTATTTGGCAAAATACGGAAAAGTTGTAAATCATGTATTTAGTGTAATGTTTAACTAGGACGTCACTTCGTGTTTCTTGTACTACCTACTTCTCTCGACTCTGGAAACATACCCTATCCTCTTTCCGTTGTCATGTCAGCAACTGTTATTACCTGCCGTGGTTGAGTTTCTTGAAGAGGTCGTGAACGGCGTTGAAGTCGGGCCTCATATCTGCCTGTTCGGCCCAGCATTGCCTCATGATGTTGATGGCCTCTGGAGGTGCAGCTCCCTTACTCACTGACGGTCGTATCAGTGGCGGTGGACGCTTCACCTTCTCAATTATATCTGCAGAGAGACATGCCATAATAATTCCATAGCGATCAATGATCAGAGCAGATTATGACCGGATATGGAACCAAGTCTGAAGGGAGATCCATAAAGATGAGAAAGGGTAGAATTTACATAAAGCAGGTCGAACTCACGAATGCTTCGTCGCGTAAGTAAAAACTGTATAACGCATAACGTACCAGCATTATGTTTGACCAAGTCCGTAATCTGGGGTATATTTTCATATAGTTATGCAACATTTCGGAAACTTAGTTGACTCCTGACCTCTAACTTCGGATAAATGGTTGGAATTTACTGGCTAACAGCAGAGTGGTCCATTGGTTAATGTAGGTTCCAGGCTCGATTCTAAATCACACTACTAATTTAAAATAAAATATCTGCCACTATAACGACAGTTAATCGCCGGAAGACAAGATCAGAGCCAACTCCTTAAACGCTGTATTAATCAAATATGCCTCAGACAAGAGATAATGACATAGTACTTGTATAATTAAGAGTACAGATGCACATACGATTATATTAATCACACTGAGAAAGATAAAATAGGCAGGGCATTTAGCATGCGTGAGGGAGATAAAGAAATGCATACAATACTTTTGCTGAAAATCCCAAAGAAAACAGGTCACTTAGAAGACCCAGACTTACATGAGAGGATAATATTAAAATGGAGCTTAGGTAAGCAAGGTGAGAGAGTGCGGTTTTCATTTATCTGGCTCAGGCTGGGACTGATGGAAGACGGTTTAACTGTTTCAGGATGTGGTTCAGCTGCGGTATTTTGTGATAACATCGATGTTATGTTTCTTGAGTTACATCATTTGGACTAGTAGATCTCCGATTAACATAATGCCTACATCTTCAGAGCTAAAGATGGAGCCAGCATGCTCCCCGAAAAGTCGCTACTATCCGTAAGTCGACACGATGTTACTATCCAGAAGACCAAATTAGAAATATTTACCTCAACTCTCACATCTGTGATGACAATTTTGATCCTTAATACTGATTTTGATATCTCTAAAATATAAAAGACCAACTCAGATCCGCCTGTAATGCAGAGACGAAGCAAATTGACAACACTTCAGTCCATGATGAAGAAAATAAAGTACCTTCAGGGCTGAGGGACAGCATACAGAAGGGTTCCCCTCTGACAACTACTTCCTGCATGATGATACCGAAACTGTAGACGTCAGCAGCCTGGGTGCCTGTTTTCAGTAGCGAATGATTCCGGAGCAACTCTGGAGCGGTCCACAGCAGATCTGAAGGAAATCAGACGGCAGAACTTACCACGGAGTGGGAACTGTTGTTCCTTAAAGCTTCCCTTTCCTGCCAGGGAAAGTGTTTCTAAACGACCACTGTACATGCAACTGCACATTTATTAAGCTTGGTTTTGTTTTCCAACAAACAAATATTATTATTGAAGCCCCATATTTCTGTAAACAACATTTTTATTTACCATCTGCACAACTAATGTGAATCAAAGTGTTTTTACATATCATAGTGATATTTTTGTTGTCACGGTATGAAGCCTTCTGGGTTGTTGCGTCTTGTAGTCTGTTGTAAGTCTACCGACGTTTCAGATATGCGTGCTGCCTCCATAATCAGGACGATGCGTAAGTGTAAGTTACTCAAAGCCCTGATGATGGAGACAGGAAACACGTCTGATACGTCGGTAAACTTACAACAGACCACGCGACGCAACATCTCAGAAGACAGTTATCAACAACATTATCCAACATAGATCTATCACTATCAGGCTAGTAATTCTTCTTCTTCTTCCTAAGATGTTTCTACTTTAGGTGATCGTGTGACAGCAAACCTCCCACGTCCTCCCCCCTTCTGTGTGACATTCATATTTCCTAACCTCCTGTTCACATCTTGATCTCTGTGCCTCTTGTCAATTTTTCTTCCACACGTCTAAAACTTTTTTTTTTTTATAATTCTGTCCTCAATCATTCTTAGAACGCGCCATAAATTATCTGATTCTGGTATTTGTTACTTTGTCTTCCAGTGTGTTTAAATTATGATCATATTTCTTTCGTTTCTTATTTGGAATGTAAATACTTAATTATATTGAAATTAATTCGTATGTATACCAAGTATGTAAAAAAATTCCTATTATAAATGCATTAAGAAAGTTGTCCTACGAGATATTTAATTAATAACAAGTGAACGTTCAAATCGACATAAAAATAAGGCAGTAACACACAAAATATTTATCAAATTGCTGTACCGACTGAAAATAAAGTACACTGTATGTACACACATGTCTTTGTGTGTACAACAGTAAAGTGCAATATATATATGCATGATCCTGTCCATCTCTTCACAAATATTTTGTGTGTATGTAAGGGGTGTGGGGGAATAGTGGAGATGATTTCACAAAGCTCAGTATTAAAACTCTTCTATCCGGTGTTGATACTGAGACTCATGTTATTTTCTATGAGTTAGAAGTCCAATGTGATCTACAGAGAGACAAAGCCAGTTCGTAAATAATTTTGTACGACAGTAAAGACACACATTATAGCGCACATTATAGAATTCCGCTTTATGAATTAGACCTATGGTTTGTAGGTAGAAATTTATGGCTGAAGGAAGCACAAGATTCACAAACGATATAGTCATATGTTTAATTAGGAATATTAAAAGCAATTTCATGCTGTGTTCCGTAAAGGAAAATACAGCAGAAAGGAAACTGCCGGTGTGGCAGGCCCCATCCAATTTACCGTTAATTTTCGTAGGTGAATGAAAACAGAACCTCATTAATGTAGCCATTAATTCACAACTAGCTCGCTCCGCTGGAAATGGTTTGAAGTTATCTACACGAGTTTGTTCTAAAATAATGTGGCGAAGCACGATGAAAATACATAACTAAGTTTGAAGCATAACTTATTTAATACAAAATATGGCATTCGGAGTAGAACTCATGAAGCACACTTTTGTACTACACAACTCTCCAGTCGTATGTATCGCGTGTTGTTAATATTATACAGGATGATCGAAAAATCACGTTCTATTTGTCGAAATGCATATTACATTAAAATCAGTAAACAATGTTATATTTTGTGTTGGAAATGTCAACTGCGTTCAGCGATGCAATACATTCACTCTTTGGTTCATGTTTGATGCAACCCCGCGAAGCGCTCCTGTTTCACAGAAAATATTCACCGGACGAGATATCGATTTCTTTGGCACAGGAGAACCAGAAAAAGTATCCCTAGGCTTACTCTGGATTGTTACATAAGAACGAGATGCCAAAGAGTGTTCGATCGATAATGGACACTCGTTGCACTTGTCAAAAAGACATCCTTGCACTTCGCCTGTTGAAAGATAACTGACGGACTGGCGCGAGCAGGTTACAGCATGACGTGAGCTACGTCGGCTCTTGTAAAGTCACACCAATATTAAGTGATTTTAATTTAATCTAATTTTATTGACTTGCAACCAACAATAAATAATTTAATATGGGTTCCGTGATTTTCGATCATCCTGTATTCAGTCTGTAAATACATGGTATGAGTTTAATTCTACTCAAGGAAGTAACTTTATATTACTTGTGATTATTAGTGCTTCATTGTGACTGATATTATAATAATAATTCTTTTGAAAAGAACATATTATATAGACCATATAAATTCTGAAATTACACTTATAATTAATAATCTCAAAGATTCGAATCGTTGTCATGTTTGTAAATCCTAACACAAAAATTTTCAGGTATGTTTAGGCCTATAATTTATTTTATTATCAAATTTCACATTCCTAGCTCCAATGCAATTATCTGTATGAACTTGTAAGACAAATGAACTTTGCTTCACGGCAGTCATTTTGCTGTTTTTAAATTCTACGAAAAGAACTTCACATGTTTAATGTTTTTCAAAGATCCATTACCATACACATTTTCAGGAAAGCTGAGAAACATAGGAACAGTAGCTGCCCATACCTCTAGCAGTTTTAGAAGGCGGTGTGATATTCTGAGCTTCGTAGAACGCAGGCAAGCCGTAGTCTGTGATCTTCAGGACCCATCGTGCATCAATGACGCAGTTCCGGGAAGTGAGATACCCGTGGACTCGGATGGGAGTGGAGTGCAAATATCTCATTCCCTGTGGACCCCAACAAAATTTAACGGGAACATAGAGAATCAGAAACTAATACATCTTTTTTATACATAAATCAGGCTCTTTGGTCTGTTGCGATTCGTGATTGATTTCTTACGACAGACTTTTTTAGACACATTGTAAGGTCCCTTGATAATAGACCATTCCACAACCAGGCTTCTAATATATATATATATATATATATATATATGTACACATAAGGGTGTCCCATGAGGAAATTTCAATATTTTGGGAGGTCATAGTATCGGTCTTTCTAA